GCAAATGCAAAGCGGTCGTGAACAAACACAGGTGTCTACTTGCTTGTGCTCAATGTAAATGCTTATACAGTAACAAATATATCTTATCAAGACGGCTGAATGTCGAAATTTTCACTCAACAGTAAAAAACACAAGCTGTCACTAAGCAAGTTATTCTATGAATATTCGAAAGGGGCACATTTAACAGACCCTTGGTGATTCATACAAATCATGCAGGCATCTTGCAAGCAAAGATACGAGATTCATTGTCAATGTCACTTAGTTGATAGATTCATGGCATGGCCTCTGGCCCTATATACAACGCAATGCCTTTGGCCCGAAGGGGTATTTCAAAATAAAATAAAATTAAAAATAGTAAAGGACAATTGAAATTTTCCGCACCTTGCAATGCCCTGTTCTGATAAATGTGCCTGGATGACTGCAGGCATACAGGCAATATTTTGTTTGCGTACATTATCGACATGATAGCTGGCACTCCTTTATCTTCAAAACAAATAAGCCACTCAATTGTAAAGACTGCATTTTTGGTTTGTTTCACAAGTTTTAAGGGATCCCGACACCATAAGTGAAACCTAAAGGTGTTTTTGTTGCTTTAATGCCCTGTAGACATGGACACTTCTGCGATTATTAGTGGCAAACACTGCCTTTCATAACTTTTATTTTGGTTTTAATGGAAGTGCGAGTGTTTGCCAGCACCTTGAAACATCGCCACTGGTATGATAGAGGGTCCTGTGTGACATTCACCTAGAGAAGCGAGTGTTGTTGATATCGCAGATAAGATTACGGAGCAGGAGGACTAGGAGACTATTGTTCGTCATCCACCTCATTCTGATGTGTAGCTACTCTGAAGGTAGTTCTAGCTGCTTACAACAGGGATGTCTTATCATTAGGAGGAGGCATGCTCTTGGCAGCCAAGTGAACGCTTGTAGGGACACTAAAGGCAAACAGCAATTTACGTCAGAGTGGAAGATAATTGTTTGGGAATGCCTAAAACGTCGATATTATCAACAGCACAGCTCTAGTAATCGAAAAATTAAAGCAAACGTATGACACCACATGCACGACGAGTGGGACATTTTTCAAATGATCCAAATGACGTGAGAGCGTCGGATTCCAATAATTCACTGGTTATCAAATCAGCTGTAGTAAAAAAAAGAACCTTCTGTGCATTACAACATGTAATGAATTACTGCTTGTCGGTGTACGTTAGTATCATAGAAAAAGGAATCGCCTGGCGTTACAATGAGCAATGGCTCAAGTAAAGTTCTGTTTTTGCCTGGTTAGGCTAGATAGGTGGTGAAATCTAGCAGGGCCCACTTGAACCAAGCAAATAAAAAAATTTTTAATGGCTGTTTTTGCTGCTGTGGCTCCCGCTACTTTCACTCTATTGCTGCTAGTGTAGGCGCCCGTGCAATAAAGGCAGGCAACATTGGGCATGGTCACAGTGAATTGCGTTAGCGCACTTAAATGACCCACCTAAAAGCAGTCAGAGAGACAGCTTTCAGGTGGGTGATTTGAAGTACGCTGATGCGATTTGGACCACTAAAATATGATTTTATTTCAAGATAAGCACTTTCTTGGCACAAAAGGAGCCCTACGAGGATTCTGGACCACTATTTGATCAATCAACGTCGACTTATATTTGCCTTTAGTGTCCCTTTGACAGGCTAAACTCATAGCATAACAACCATTGCATAGCCATTTTCAGTCAAGTTAGGGCTTCCTGTTTGGATTTCATGCATCAAAACTTAAAATGAGGAGAAAGGAGACACAGAGGAAAGGCGATGCAATTCATTTCAGATGATAGATATTGAAAAATATGGGCTGTAAAGCAGGGCCACAGCCAGCAATATTTTTCCAAGAGGAGGTTCCAGTGGGGGGTGGGGGGGGGGGGGGCAGTGCGCTGGCAGATTTGTGCTACCAACGAAAGTAAGGCCCCTCAGCTAAGGCCACTCATCTGATGTTTTTACCCAAAATCAAAATGCCTGCAGAGCGCACTACCTTTGCCGTTACTGCTTATGCATGGTAGTTTTCCCGCAAATGTTCAACTATTCTTGGCCTACAGTATTTGCTGTGTTTGCTTCCGATACCACCACGACGCCATCACATTTTCTTGGACACTACAAAACTTTCTTTCTATAAATACTACATGTAAGTTAATTTACAAACAAGTTTACTGGCTCAAGAAAAGCTGCCTAACAAATAACACTGACTATTGTAACACATCTAAGCACCAAATAAACCTGTACATGAGCATGTGATAGTGAAGAAGAACACTCATAGTGAAAGCAGAATAGATCACGAGTAAAAACAGTGATGTCACTAATATAAATCTAGCATTATAATACATAACGCAAGTTATTCCACAAAATATGCCGCCACTGTTACCTGCCTTTGGACTAGGGTAATCCTCCCAGAGCATAGTTTACACGTAGTGCTTTGAGAAGCATAAATCAAGCACAAGAGAAATCACAGCAAAAGGAACATATTACAAACTTTTGTCAGGTCACTGAGAGTAGTGTTATGACCTAAATTAAAAGTATTTAAATGGTAAAACAAAATGTGCTTTCATTCTACACAGGCATTCTTCAGGCAACACTCGAGTCTTCCACCTCTGATACATCAGACCGCGGTGGTGTGGATGAAACTGGAGAACTTGAGACAAAGTCGGAGACTGAGGCCTGACGCATCATCCGTTGCCGGAATCCATCAGAGTCAAAAGGTGTGATGTGCTAAGATAGGAAGAGAATGAATTATGGAAGTGAAACCACCAGACACAGCTCCATTAAGACAGCAGACCAGGGAACAAGTGCCATGCGACTCTAGTGCAAGCCATGCAAGTTCGACCACCACAGATAAGCTTGACGCCAATGAAGCACCAGATAAAACCTGGATGGAACATGGAAATGGTGCAAAGCATGCTTGTTCCCAGCAAATAATAGGTATGATCATTTCACTGTAACCTCAAAAAAGAGACCGCCAGAAATGGACAGCAAGCCAAATGCAGTAAAAGCGTGCTAAAGCCATTGAAATTGCCTTTCAGCTGTATAACGGACAGTGAATAAAAGGAAAAAAGACCAAGAATTTACTGCAGACCAAGAAACTTAGCAATCTAGATAGATGCACTGATCAAGCAAACATACGGCAAACTTCTGGAAAGAATATGCATCCAGAAAAAAAAAGAAAATTTTTGGAATGGGTATTAAAGCATGTCACATGCTACAATACCAAGGTAAATGCCACAGAAGACATGCAGCATAAATGCTGCCACAGGACCTGCATTAGCATCCACTGAAGATATATTTCCAAGCAAATTATTTCAATGAAAGTAACATAAAGCCCAAATGAACAAGATTAAGTTCACCTGCCCAAACATGTAATGCCAGCTCAAAAGCTCCCATATGCAAGATTGTAAAAACCTTATACCAACCTTGAAACACTATGCTGTCAAAATGAAAAAAAAAAAAAAAACTGGGGAAAAAATGCATCCTATAAGGGCATAATGAAAGTGCCCTAATAAGTTTGTTGCAGTCATTTCCTTTAATTGAAAAACAATGCAAGACAGCTAAACATGCTCATGCCTAGCTAATTAATGAACCTTTTTTTAATAGAATGTTTGCAAAAAGAGAAGAGATGGATGGGACCAAGCATACTATGTAGCATCAACAGGTGACTGCGCAGTGCAGTGCAGAAAAAAAAGGAAGCAATACATGATTCGTAATAGTAAAAGTAGGTAGTGGGCAGGCAAAAACAAGCACATTTAGAAGCTATAAAAAGACTATAAATCACATAAAAATGTTTTTTTATGAAACAATGCAAGCATTTTTTAAATTTACAATGAGACTTCACATACCGCCTGGACTATTGCTGGGCCTTTTTCATTAACTTCTTCGAAAGTTATGTCTCTTTAACACACCTATCTCTAATCACGAAGCTTTCACCTCTATATGAGATCCACGGTATCGGCTATCAGAAAGTCAAAATGTGTGAAGCAATGCAGGTCCTACAATAACTAATCAGCATGATGCAGGCAGCTATCACTAGTGGCCGATTGAGAACTTAAGATGCACTTAAACAAGAAGCTGGAAGTCCACAATGAGCAGTCGACCGAACAACTGCTATCGGTATTCAGGTGCTCCGTTTTTCAAATATGACATCACCCTAATAAACATTTAAAATTTTTTCTAAGATCCCTTCCGCCATCTTCCACCAGCAACATTATACGTCACGTTAGGGTGGTGCTCCCATGGTGATTCAAAAGGCAACAATGTTCATATTGCAAATGCTGCCAACATTTCAAACCCTACTGAGCATAGCTTGCAGTAAGCTCTGGCCCAGCTCTGACCCACCCACTTTAAATTATTTCTGAAACACCTATAAGTTATAAATTTTATGTCCACGAAAACCAGAATCCTGGATAAATGTATGCTCTGGTAATCTACATAAGCTTTGCCTGTGAAACTGACGATGACAAAAGAGAGGAAGCAAGCCAAGCTATGCAACATTTATGTCTTCTCCTTATGGCTGAAAATTTTAAGCTGAAATCTAGCAATTTATTGTGAAGCACAAACTGGCCCAGCAATATTTGGCTAATGTCTGGTTGAGTGTGCTTAGGAACTTTTGAAAATTAATTCAAGTGATAAAGCATTAACATTAGGGTTTCTAGGTACTTATACTCTTTAAATGCTACTTTTAAAACATTAATCTCTTTAAATGCTACTTTTAAAACATTAATAAAATAGCAACTCCTTCAGATGCAATTGCTAGAGCATATTCTTATATGCTCAATGGCAATATGTGCCACCTGTTACAATGGCACAGGCTTTCCAATGGGACAGGGGCACAAGTCAGCATGGTGTGCTGACTGAAGCTCCCACGTTTAAATGCCATATACTATACCCTATAAAGTGGACGGAGAGATGACCACCACAGCTGCTCAGTGATGGAGCATCGGATACGTTATTGGAGGGTCGCAGGTTCGACCTAGTCTACGGGAAGTTATCTTTTTGTCCACTTTTTCTTTTTTCACATTTCCATCAAAATAGCCTCCAATAACATTCTCTATACTTCTCTTGGCATCGTAGTCTGTTCGTTCTCATTTATGTTGTGCCTAACAAGGAAAATGAGCCCTTACATTTTCACTTCTCTCCTTCTAAACAGGAAAAGAAATCGCTACTTTTATATACAGAGGCAACGCTAGCTACCAATATTTTTCCTCCTTTTTTTTTTTCTGGTGGAACAAGAAAGACAATATTGTTCATGAAATATGTGCATTTATACATACCTGCTTTACCATCACATTCGCCACTTCGGGGTCCAATGATGGGAAATCGGGAGGCATCTGCGTGGCCAATGGCGAGAGTGACATCTGAAGAAGAGCATCTCGCGAATAGCATTTGCGCACAGCCGCTGGTTCAATGGGTGCATCAGAAGCATCTAACGAAGCAGATGAAGGCACTTGAGGATGGTCAGCCTGAAGAAAAAATCAGCCAGTTGAAAAAACAAGACATTACCATTTGCGTAACTGTCAAATATGCCAAACTACTTACCTTGGCAGAAAACTCTGGTGAGCTCCCAGATCGCTTGAACTGTTTGGTCGGCTGACCAGGCACCTCAACAATACTTGACGTCTTTGTGGCTGCAAACCATGCACATACAAAAATTAGGACACAATGTATAAATTGTGCCATGTCTTTACCATGAATTGTGTAAGACCAAATGCATATGCAAATAAAATTTACAGAGTTCGTTACAAGCTTTAACCAGAAATTCCACACTTACTTTGGACATAGTCTTCTTTTACAGATATGTTCTTCTTTGATACTCATATTTTTCCTATTGACACTGCATTTACAAATACAACAACTCTTAAGTGCACACCAACTTTTAAGCAATCCACAAAATGTCACCAGTGTCTCCTACAGCACTACCTGTTGTGATCGCTGAACTACACAGTGCCAAAGTGCCATGTTTGTGGTATGCCATATAAATTTCAGTGTTAAACCAAATGAACAACCAAATGAATATCAGACAGCAGAAATTTTTGCTAAGAACTTTTTAGAATTATTTTAACATGAGAAAAAGGGCATATCTGAGATGCTTTATGACTTTTATGGCACCTGCATATGCTAGGAATAGAGTAAAAATAGTATTGCACATAACCAAAAAATTGTAAAGTTATAAGAAAGTCTGAAAACTGCATTTGAGTCATGTTTTCAGCTACTGATTTGGCATTAAGGCAGTCCATCTAAAAATATAAAAAGTTGTATAGTTCATGGGGGGAACCTAATAATTTGTTTTAGATATTTTCTCTTTTTTTTTAGTAATCTAACTTTTCAGCAAGACATATGTATATGCGCAGAGTGAATGCCAGCATTGGAGGTCACTGGTATCCACTGCAGGAAAATGGTGGCTATGGTGCTGGGCTACTGAGCCTGAGGTAGTAGGCTCAATGAAATGTTGCCCTCGCATCTCAACGGGGGTGCAATGAGAAAGTGCTTGGGTATTTGTATTAACTTGCATGCACTGTGGTACTCCAGATAGTGAAAATGACAGCCTGAATTGGGGACTAGTTGGTCCATATAACATTAGTCAGATACAGCACAACCGAAGTACTACTGAGTGTTCAGAGATAAGCTTTGTGGTTTTCTTAAAATTCAGCTCCCAGAAAAACCTGAACCCCCCCCCCTTTGCAGATTACTAGTATATCCAGGGGCACCCAAAGTGAGACAATAATGATTGATGTCAGCTGCACAACTAACTCAGATTTATTAATTACCTTTTTAACAAATGCAGCAAGAAGGCGTGTTTCTATTTAAAAGTTGGAGGCAGTCGTGTTTATACACAGTTACACTTGGAAGAATCATTCTAGCATGGCTGTGCATCGAGATACACTCAAACTTGAATGTAACAAACCCAGATATAAATAAGCAAATAAAAAATAGTCTTACAATAGATTTCGTGTTAGAATATACTTTTATAATGAATTTTTGGACATAACGACCTTATTTTCATGTAATTTGCAACTTTATTATAATGAGGTTTTAGTATGACCCACTACAAAGATTAATTGTGGTTTTCATGATTGAACATGCAAGGCGATGGGGATCGGTGCAATGTTTCTCTCCGATGTGACAAGCAGTCATTGCTTGCTATCGCCAGCCAGTAGTAAAAGTGTAACTGCCATTATCTTTGTTATCATCTTGGCCTTTGACCTGCTGTCAGATCAAAGGGACAGGGTAAGCAAAAATATTGAAAAAATTCATTTTTTTCTTTTTCAATTGTTTGAAATCTACAGCCTTTTCTGAACCAGAATCAGTCATTTGTTTGTCCCAGAGTAATTTTCTTTCCCTCTAAAAACGACATATTTCTAAACTTGTGTGGCAGCCTGCCATACCTCTATTCTTACGTAGCAAAGGATTCCTTGCAGTTCACGCATCATAGCCGAATGAAGAAGTTACAGTTTGCAAGCTGGAGTGTATTTGGCACATTCACTAAAGAATAGGCCCAGAATTGTGAAAACTAAACAAAGCCGAGGCCTCATGCCAGGACATTTATATCTGGCCGGGGACGTCTTAAGGGTGTTATCATTGGCAAGCATGAAAACTATCGTTTGGCCATTAAAAAAAAAAAAGAGATCCAGCTTAAAGGACATGCAAAAAGCTGTTCGGGCAACTTATTTTGACGTGGCATGAAAGGATACCAATCTATCCTAGTGCCCTTGCCTAAAAAACACCTAAACTTGGTGGAAATTAAACACAGCCCAGTTGAATGGTAAACCATTTGTTCATATAAAACACCTTAAAGCATCTGTTATTGAGGCTGTTAAGCCAACTTATCCATATGAGCTCTTTCAAAATTTCTTCCCAAATGCCTTCATGAAAAAACCTTTAAACTCTAACGAGTCGTCGAATTGTTGTATGATTGTATGAGAGAGCACTCCTAAAGACGTTTTTCTCGGACACCAAACCCTCAAAATATGCACTCTTGATGCTGTGCTAACTTTTAATGATGACAATGTGCTGAACTCCTTAGGAATTTCGAGAGGGCACTGCACAGTGCAGGGCCTACGCACGCTATGCACCCTTGAGCTGCGTTGACAGTACTTTGTTGACAGGGCTGCACAGCAGGCGACAAAGAAGGCTCGCAAGGCAAGACGTTTCAACACAAAAAAGAGAAAAATTATATTAGCGGTAAGTATCGAGCTGGTGGCTATTGAACAGGCCCATTGATTAGCTGTTATTGCGTTGTACTTTTGAAACAATGCACATTTTACACTTTAAATGCGATTATCTAAAAACATGCTTTTTTGTACTTATGCTCCTTTATCTCAGCAATCACAGTATCTAGAATCACAGATTTCGCCTAGTATTTAGATAACATAATAGGCAATATGCTGAAGCAGAATTATTGTTGTGTAGGGAAGCGCTCTTCTTCAACATGACATCTAACAGATGTCGATAACTAGGTACCTGAATAAAAAAAATTACGAAAAATTGGTGTTACAATTTTGAGCGCCAAGTCTGCTTCATAAAAAAGAGGAATGGCTTATGATTACAGTGAAAGTAAAATAATTACTGTAACTCTTATGGTTATAGAGAAAAAGGTACATAAACTTCACCTAAATACATGGCGGGTATAGGGCTTACCCAGTTTCCTTAAATGATGTACAGAACTATCACAGCACATTGAGGAGGTGTTTTGTGCCAGTGCTGACTGTCTCATATCAAGAAAACCATAAAACATAATTTTGAACACCCTGTTTGCTTACCAGACTAGTTTATACTGGTCGCTGATGAACAATGCTTTTGCAAGCCCAATTCTAAAAACACACTGCACTAATTAACTTACAGCACCATCTTTGAGAATGTACAGAAAGTATATCTGTTGTTTCTGGATGGCGTAAATTTTCATCAATGATTCTTAAAGAGCGCATGAGCCCGAAGATTGAAGTGCAGGTTAGCCCTAGCCCGATGGCATGAATATTGCCACCTAGAGTTGTGAGCCGGCAAGCCCTAGCGAGCCAAAAAGGGCAAAGAGAACGAAGAAAAAGTGTGGTTAGTGCCTCGTTCTGAAGATACATGCTCGTGTCTTTCTGCCCCGCTGTTCCTGTCTTGTCTCTACGGCTCTTGGTGCGTGACAAACTGGTGGAGGTGCTGGGTAATCTATGCATTGTACCCCTCCACATAGCAGGAACACAAGCGTCGTACCGGTAAGTCACACCTGTGCATCGCGCCAGCAGAAGAATCGGAGGGCTATCCCTTGAGTTTGGACTGCTCGCCAACAACATGGCAGCTCCGACCAGCCCTACCGACACCAACCCAACCGGTACGAACGGCACAACGCCGCTTCATTGCACCTTACTCACACCGCGAACGCCAAATCCCTTTCATAGCACTGCACTTGATGTAGAAGATTGGCTTGTTAATTACGAGTTTGTTGCCGTGCACAACCAGTGGGACGACGCAGACAAACTGCGGCACGTCTATTTCAGTCTTTTGGACGGCGCACGTGTCTGGTATGAGAACCGGGCAGGTATTCTTACATCATGGGAAGACTTCAAACGCCGACTTCTTGGGACATATGCCAACCCTGACCGTCGGGAGAGAGCTGAGCACGATCTGCAGTCCCGCATACAATTGCCGAACGAAGGGGTTGCGATGTATGTCGAAGAAATGACGCGCCTTTTCCACTGAGCTGACCTCGGCATGCCAGAAGAAAAGAAGGTAAGGTACCTCATGCGCGGGGTGAAAGAGCAGCTTTTCGGTGGGCTTGTACGCAGTCCACCCAAGACTGTGTCAGAATTTCTCACGGAAGCCGTCACCATAGAAAGCACTCTTAGGCACCGGGCCCCGTCATACGAACGGCACGTCAACGCTTTAACTACGGACTACTTAGGAGCTTTCGGTGGCCAAATGAATTTCTTCCAAGAGATCATACGTTCAGTCATCCGCGAAGAACTCCAGAAGCTGTCAGTGCCCTCGCAGCCCACTACCTCCTCGTTGTCCAGCATTGTCCGAGATGAAGTCCAGCACGCCTTAAGAGAACGGCCTTGCATGCGGAATTATCAACCACCCGGTGACTTTCCCCGCATGTCGTATGCTCAAGCTTTGCGGCAACCTGTTACGCCTGCAATTCCGCATCCCACCGTGGCCCCAGCCATGCTGCAGACGGTCCAAGCGGCGCCATATTACAGCGCACCTCGCCTGATCTCGCGGAAGTCAGACGTCTGGCGTGCGCCAGATCGACGTCCTGTTTGCTTCCACTGTGGTGAAGCTGGGCACCTGTACCGACAGTGTCCTTATCGACAACTTGGACTACGCGGATTTTCGACGAACTCACCACCACCGAGGTTCGGTCAGCGGCCCCCTGAAATTGAAGAGTACGTAGCTCAACAGCGCGGAACTTCGTCATCTTCATCCTTGCACCAGTCACGCTCCCCGTCACCGCGGCGATTTTCTCCTAATCGCCGCACTTATTCGAGCGTGGCGCAGGGTCGGTCACCCAGTCCACGCCGGGAAAACTAACCACAGCAACCTTCGGGGGCGAGGCCGCTCATACTGGACAAGCTCAAGGCCTCCTACCGACGCTTCCGCAAACTGACGATTCTCCGACGACGACACCAGCTGGTTCCGCAAA